TTCTAAAGGAATCGACTTGTATAACTGATTGAGCGCCAAAACTTCTTGTGCTATTGAATCTAAATTACAATAAGCTTTTTGTACCATCTGACGGAGGTCATCACCGAGAGCAGCAACTGTTTCACCGGAATTTCGCTTTCTCATTTCAAAACGCGATAACCATCTGTTTTGTTGACGGGCACTTCCGAATCTTTCTTCTAAGCGTCGGACAAGGATACTATATGTTCGGCGTTCGTGTGTAGGAAGGCTCATATAAAAAGTTCGCGCAGGGCCCTTTAAACTTGCAGCAAGGGTCAATACCCTATCTTCCATACTCCATCTGCCTAGTTCTGCACAATCTTGAAAATGCGAAAAATACTCTTCCTAATCGTCTGATCCACTATAAGCATCTGGGCGAATTGTAGCAGTATGACCAGCAATTGGCAACTGTTCACGGCAAAATCGTGGTGCACTTCCCCATTTTCGTTCATGACCGGTATTATTTTCAAAATACGAAACACGTGGATCACCTTCAAAATTCCGTTCCATCTCGACTGTATTTCTCTGTCTAGCTATGTCGTCTTGCACGTTGTTATGAAATTCACTTTCAATATCACCTTGGCCCTGTTTTGCTGTATTTAATGCAGAGTCTTCAATATTTTTCTCGACCGTTTCATGCTTGTCCATATTAAACTCAATTTCCGAATCAGATTCGTCAGACATATTACCAGTTTACTCAAAGCGTTAAAAAAATAAAGATTTTTACTAAAACTTGAAAATCACAGGAGAGGTATTCGATCACTGGATGACAATTATTTTTGTCATCCCACTTCTGACACCAAACTGTAACAAACCTAGGGTTGATATAACACTGTTTAACTCATTCAGGAGGAGTGGAATAATCTTTCAACACAATGCCAGTGTGAAGAAACAGATTCGTAATAAACGTAACAATAAAATTTATTTCAGCAGTATTTTTGACTTGTTATTTCAATAACAACAAATACACATTCAGCATTCAACAGACAAAAACAATGCACCGGGTGGTCACTATAACTTAAGACTAATTATAACCTATGAACATTTGAGAAACACACTGGAAAATCACCTAAGTAAGGGTCTCTTTATCAATGGACAATAGAAATGACTTATAAATCCCGTTCGGTAAAGAATGGCGGTTTAGCGCCAAAAATTTAATTTCGCTAAAAAGATTAATATCTAAATATAGATAAAAGTATTTAAATTATTGTTTGTACCTTTCTTATTTAACTTTGATTATTCGATATTCTATTTGGGTATTTTAAAATGTAGTTGATGGTTCAAAGGATTGATTCCGACTGCCATGTTATTCTGCAGGCTTCTATTTATGTATTTTTGCACTAACGATGACGTAAGAGTAAACGTCAAATCATCCAATCAAAAGCAACGTTTCTTACGTCTTTTGGCTAGTAACATTTAGAAAGACAAACATATTTCGTTATTCATAAATAAAGAAACGTTATTAAGTAGTCCTTACTTTGTCCTTCTTGTCCGATTTATATTTAAAAGCGAATAAAACTAAAAGGACATTTCTATATAATGCTATTTTTAAACGGACAGTAAATTCCTTTCTCAATACGGCGTAGGAACTTAGGTGTAATTTCTAAAACCTTACGCATTAGATATAATGCTTAAATGAGATCAATGAAAACCCTATCCTATCATAAATATAGACAATGTTAATGAAAAGGGAGGCACAAACATAATAAATACGCAATTTATCTGCATTGCTAAGATGTTAACTTAAACAAAAAATGATATGAGATCGCAAAGTGAAAGTACAGAACGGTGTCATGGCGGATGTAAACAAGTTGAATCTCACGACAAGATTTGTCAAGATAAATCACTATTTGACATGATAATCAAAGTATTTCATAGGTAACCATTACAAAGATATACATATAAAACTGGCCCTTATCACTTGTAAAGTATAAATGGTTTAAATCATGAGTATGAAAGTCAATGCATTTATCAGTGTTTGTGCACACCCGAGAAGTTGACCACCCGGCAATATTCAAATAAATATATGTTTAAATACAATTAATAACACATTAAATAATAACAAATATCAGTCCAGAATTGTCACAGAACCATGAAATTGAGGTCAAGGTCAGATGACACCTGCCAGTTGGACATGTACACCTTACAGTCCTTCCATACACCGAATATGCTAGACCTATTGCTTCTAGTATCTGAGATATGGACTTGACCACCAAAACTTAACCTTTTTCACTGATCTATGAAACCAGGTCGAGGTCAAGTGAAAACTGTCTGACGGGCATGACGACCTTGCAAGGTACGCACATACCAAATATAGTTATCCTATTACTCATAATAAGAGAGAAATTAACATTACAAAAAATCTGAACTTTTTTTCAAGTAGTCACTGAACCATGAAAATGAGGTCAAGGACAATGGACATGTGACAGATGGAAACTTAGTAACATAAGGCATCTATATACAAAGTATGAAGCATCCAGGTCTTCCGCCTTCTATAATATAAAGCTTTTAAGAAGTTAGCTAACGCCACCACCACAGCCGCCGGATCACTATCCCTTTATCGAGCTTTCTGCGACAAAAGTTGCAGGCTCAACAAAAACTAGAGTAAGTTAATTAAGTGATGAAACTAAGCTAGGCCATCACAATTTAGTCTTTAATTAAAACTGTCCTTTGATTAAAAGTTTTTTTTTTTAAATGGAACTTAACTTGCATTGTATTCCAAATTTCTAAGGATAAGCATGATAAGTATTGAGCATGACATTTGCTAAAAAATAATATCAAAAGCAATCTGCATGAAAGATTAACTGACTCTGACACTCACATTTCACGTTTCCAATATTAACAATTTTGAAGAAGATGAAAAAGACCCTACTTGTAAAAGTATACCCAGCAATCTCTGTTTTACTTTTCCTTTCCAGTTTTGATATAATCTAATCTTACCCTATCTTCTTTCTCTTTTTGAATTCTTCTTTTCTTGTGAGCTTCCTCCAAATTGACATGAACTTCAGCAGTTACTTTCCTGTAAAATCAATGGCATTATATGATTAATTTTCTGAAAACGTTCCATTACATTAAGATAAGTTATCATTTCTTACGATGGTTTGTTGGAAACAGAGGATCAGATGAAATGACTAATGAACAAAAGCACAAGCTTACCCATCACTATATACACATCAATTCTTGTTCCTTTTATATTTTATATTTCAAGCTAGCTGGGGTCTTCATCTTGGATTTAGAGGTAGTAGATAACAATTGGTCAGATCTTTAAAAAATGCTTAAATTTGAGAGTAGTATGTAATTCATGTGTAAGACTTTTCATCTTTATATAGATAATTATGTGTTTAATCAGATTTAAGATTGTTTTTTTCTGTAAAATAATTTTGCTGGGTTCATTTTTTTCAACTATGCCTCATACAGGGGGGATAACTCAGATAAAGTAATTTACAAAATAGAAAGTGTTGTGACTTTACCTTTTGTATTATGTAGCAAGAAAAAAAGTTTTCATTTTCTTAACTGAAAGCCTGTTATGAGAACTATCTTCTCACATTTTATTTTTAAATTCTATGGTGTAGTTTTCTTTTTGTCACACAAAATTAGATTTTTCATGCATAATTTAGACAAAATCAGACAATTTTGCACAACTTGTAGTGTGAAAAAAAAGTCTGGTGACCCATACTTTTTATTATCTTTTGGAAAAAAGCCTGATAAAAAATACATTTTGACAAATTATCAATAAAATTCTATGGACTCCCTATCCACCTTAAACATACCTTTGATAGGTCTTTCTGACTGTTGGTTCAGTTGGTTCTATATCTTCTAGATCTTCTACATATTCAAATACATCCTGCAAAAGTAAATGAAAAACTTAAAAAAAACAAAGCCTAAAAAATATGTTTTTTGAGAAAGCAACATTTTTTTAAAGCAAGTGTTATTGAAGAGGTAATCTAAGCTGCTTTTTTTTTCTTTTAAAAAGATCAAAGAACTTAAAAAAAAAATATCAATACACAGCCATATAGAAGAGGTCATTAAACGTAACAGCTTTAACAAGTACGGATTCACAAAAAGATTTTAAAAGGCCCATAATTGAGTAGGCTAAATTATTTCCAACAACCAGCAATCCCATATGTGATGTGGATTAGTATTTCTCTCCTGTCTACCTAAATTTAATAGATATCTTAAAATAAAATAAATGGGGAATGTGTCCATGGGACTCAGATGATGTCCCCGCTTGCATATCATATAAAGTTATAAAAGGACATAACTGAAGAACAGTAAAAGTGACGCTACCCAAATTTGATCTGAGTATTTTGATTACAAGTATTGTGTATAAGTTTCATAATAGTAAAAGTGACACCACCAAAATTCAAACTTGTTCTGTATTTTGTGGTAATAAGTAGTGTGTTTAAGTTTCATAACATTTGGTGTATGCAAACTAATATAGAGAATGGAAACCAACTTCGGGACATACCAACGTAAGTATGGACAGACAAGGATAAAAATACTACAAAAAATAAGTTTCAAACTACTGACTGAAAATTGTCCTCAGATTTGCCTTTTCTTTTCAGATCCCTGTGGTTTCATGCTCTTGTTCATATTCTTGAATATTATTTTTTAATTTAAAAATGTATTATATTAAAGTACCTGATGTCTTTTCTGCCTTTGAAGTCTTGCATTTTCTTTTTTCAATTGGTCATTTTCAGCTCTCAGTCTTCTGTTTTCTGTCTGTAAAATTTTAAAAAGTTAACTGATTGTTTATGTTAATATCTTTTTGAGTGTTTGAGTTTACAGATAAAATTTTGCAATTTTCTACCTTTCCAGAATCAATTAGCCAATTTTCACAAAAAATATAAATCTCAAGAAACCAATAAATGTATACTTTTAGATTATTATGCATAACAACTTAGCAATATTTCTTTGATGTTTAACCATATATTTTGGATTTTGAATTATTTACAATATTTTTTACTCATTGATAAGACAGCTTATTTCAAATGGAGTCTTTCCTTTAAATCTTCATCCTTCTGTTGATTTTCCTAAAACAGAAAGATTCATTGTAGCTATGTCTTAATTTCAAATCATGCTGTGTTAGAATAAACAGCTGCGCCATGAGCGCATGATACGCCCTTCGCGTTTTCAAAGAATAAAGTTCAATCACTTCTCAATGTCAACTCAGAAATTCATGAAAATTGAAAGGGAGCTTATGTCAATAGAGATAAACAAATCACCAAAGTTTTATTCAAATTGATAAGCGTTTTTTAATGTCTGACATGTTGACGACGGACAGACGGATGGACAACAGTATACAATAATAAGTCCCACAAACGGGCTCGCATATTTTCTTATGATAATCATGATATTTATCTTTGAAGTCTTTTTTTAATCAATCAAAATACATGCCACCTGTGCATAAACAAATATTTTTCTATATCATTGTAATTAATCTAATATACATATACAATATTATACATTAAAAGTTTAGTGTTCTTCATATTGACGACTTTTTGCAGGTCACTTTTAAATCATTCTCTTCTAGAAGCACACAAGTTTTAAGCTCTACATTTATTAATATAAATAGTACTGTAATTCTTTGTTGAGGACTATAATGATTTTTGTATGTTTTTATGTTTTGGTATTATTGGCTTTCTTACTCATTGCAGTATACAACACACAATACTTTATATTGAAAAAATTATTCCTACAGTCTGATGTATGTTGAATCCACCTAATGCTTATCAAAACAAATAACATACATGACATACCACTTCTTTCAATATATTAAGTAGTAATACAATATCTGATTTCTTTTTAATTTGTAAAAATCCTAAGTTTGTTAAAGCTTTAACCCTGAAATTAATTTAAAAAGAATAAAATGCCTATTCTATTAAGGTATAATTTGAAAGCTATAATTCCTAAATGAATCTTTTGACAACAAGAAAGGGGGTAAAAGTAAGACAAGAGTGCACACGCTGAAATGTCTCGCCTTCTTTACTAATCATCGATATTATGTTGATAGTCCTAAATATAAAGCTTTATTACAACTGTCACATAAACTTAACATTAACCAAGTAAACTAAACATTGACCAATGAACCATGAAAATGAGGTCAAGGTCAGATGAACCATGATAGGCAGGCATGTACAGCTAACAATTCTTCCATACAACAAATAGAGTTGACCTATTGCTTATAGTTTAAGAAAAACAGACCAAAACACAAAAACTTAACACTGAGCAATGAACCTTGAAAATGAGGTCAAGGTCAAATAAAACCTGTGTGACTGCCAAATAGATCATAAAATATTTCCATACACCAAATATAGTTGAACTATTGCATATAGTATAAGAAAAACAGACCAAAACACAAAAACTTAACTATAACCACTGAACCATGAAAATGAGGTCAAGGTCAGATGACACCTGCCAGTTGGACATGTACACCTTACAGTCCTTCCATACACCGAATATACTAGACCTATTGCTTATAGTATCTGAGATATGGACTTGACCACCAAAACTTAACCTTGTTCACTGATCCATGAAATGAGGTCGAGGTCAAGTGAAAACTGTCTGACGGGCATGAGGACCTTGCAAGGTACGCACATACCAAATATAGTTATCCTATTACTTATAATAAGAGAGAATCTAACATTACAAAAAATCTTAACTTTTTTTTCAAGTAGTCACTGAACCATGAAAATGAGGTCAAGGATATTGGACATGTGACTGACGGAAACTTCGTAACATGAGGCATCCATATACAAAGTATGAAGCATCCAGACCTTCCACCTTCTAAAATATAAAGCTTTTAAGAAGTTAGCTAACGCCGCCGCCGCCGCCGCCGGATCACTATCCCTATGTCGAGCTTTCTGCGACAAAAGTCGCAGGCTCGACAAAAACAAATTACCTTAAATTCCTTTGAAGCAAATCTAAATTGCTCCATAGTAATTACACCTGTCGAAAGTCTTCCAAGGAGACGATGGACTCTTGGTTCATCTCTGCAACCAACAAAGAACCTGAATAGACCAGCTGGTATCTCTTTGTACTGTTTGGTGGAAAGTATCAAGCCATCTCTGAAATTCTGAAAGATGTTGATGAGCTCCTCATAGCAACAACCTGGTAAACAGGCACAGTATATTTGTTCTCTGTATCTTCCACCAAATGTTGCCTGTAAAGAAATAAAAGATGATTATAAGCCACTGGTTATAATACCTCACAACCTCTGTTAATTGAATGAATCTTTATAGACATGCTATGGCAAAATTAACAACATATATTACATAATATAAAACATGAATAGACAGCAGAGAACAATAGTATAATACAATGACATATAAAGTTATGAGACTATATTAGATCGTATATTCCATGCAGCTTTAACAAATAACATAATCAAGTTTATTTTGTGAAAGAATCATTCTGGTCACCGTTTATATTTATGGTCTTAAAGTGGACGGTGAAGAAAACGACAAACAAATGCTTAAAAAGGGTTGTGATAAGAATTCTCAGTAATTTTTCATAGGCCAGAGTTTCAAGCAAGTCCTACAAACTCATTATTTAAATATTTAAGTTAAATGCCCAATTCTAGAATATGCAACGCCTCAGGGGCATTTACTACCGGTAGGTTGAATACAGTATGCTTATTTCAATTTTGTTTTGACTTGGTCTAAAAAATCTATGAATTGACAACCTATTACTTTTATGAATTGAAAATGAGAATGAGTAAGAATAGTTTTGTAAAACACATCAGTTTGAAACTTCACTACAAGCCTTTTTCTTAGAACTTACAAAAGCCCTATTTGAACTTAAGTGGTGAAAATTAGAGAAATAAATTATATGCCTATGTCATTTGTTTATCTCACTATAAAATTGAAACTAAATTTGGTCAAGTGGTCAAGTGGTCTAGCGCGTCGGGCACAGTGCAAACCGATTTGTAGCCATGAGTTCTAATCCTGGCGAGGGATGAACAAAAAAATTAACAAAAGCAAATTTACAGTTCTAACATTGTTGGGCTGATGTTTAGACGAAAATGTCTAAAAATAGCAACAATCAAAATCCAATCTATTTGCGCATGGATCAGTTGGTGAAAATATATATGTATGTGAATGTACCAAATCAGGAGTTTGTTATTACCGGTAATTGGTTGTTTAGGTTACTGTTTTTTCATATTTGTTTAAGATTAAGAGGTTGTATATGTATATTATGCTCATAGTCCATTGTAGGTTTCCTACTTGTGAATGGTCATTGTGGACCTCTTCTGCATTAAAAGTATTACAATAACCTATAGTTTCTTACATAAAATACATTTGGCTTGTTAGGTATGGAGTAGTCTTATTGGCAATCATGCCACATCATCTTTTTTCATATTGTCTCATTTATTTTAAGCTTTTTTTCCATATTTTCACATTTTTGTAAAGCTTTCCCTACATGTATGAAATGATCAATCATAAAATCATTTATATTTATACATACCCTGTCAATACATCCAAATAAAGTCACACATGCTTGGCGCCACACTCTGTTTGATGAATCTAAGAATTCACCCAACTTGTCAGGGTCATTATTATCAGGATGGAGGTTGCGCATCATCTACAAAGAGTAAAAATTATATTTATCCTGCCTATCAGTAATCAGAATAAAGATATTTTAATACAATGATCATTATGCCGCTTACATTTTAATTGATGTGACTTAGCTATTTCACTTTATTTTTTTATTTCAAGTCAAATTACTGTTTTATTTCATTTGTTCTTCTGATAAGATAAATGGTTATTGACCATTGCTTAGCACATAACTTTAAGCTTTAAACAACTCCACAACAGATCACCAATGAAGGTGATACAAGGCTGAAAACATATATAGTAAATACCTGCACTTCTTCTTGAAAACATCTTTGTTTTGATGCAACACTCAAAGATAATTGGTCGGCTGTAGTATCTGAAAGAAAAAATGTTACAGAAATTTGTCAAAACTATTCACATATATGTTTACATAGCTTTGGATCCATCTAATCATTTTATAATAGACAACTGTTATATAATTACTGTTCTACCAGTGGCGGTTACAGAGAGGGCGTAGAGGGTGTATGTCCCCTTTACTTGCACTTTTTTTTTATTAAGATGGTAAAATGATTAATCAGACCACATTTAGTTGACTTTGCCATTTCCCGTGTAGACAATTCGTTACTTATAAAGATATTATTCGCTCTTATAAGTGTTAAATATTATTGATTATGTCAAAGTCAACGATATTCGCTACCAGAACGTCAAAAAACGTCTCTCAGTCATTTTAAAATTCAAATTACAGTAACCACATTGCTAAGGCTGAGGATGACAAGCATGACGCATTCAAAGCGACAAAGGATGGTGCAAGGACTCATTGCCTCCTATTTCACAATTCCATCCAACAGATGGCAATACTCTATTACACTCACATGACAAAAAAAGTTCCACAGCTATAATATTTACCTACAACAACATGTTTAACCCCACACGCCCCAGCCCATTAATAACAGAGAAAAAAATGCTGGCCCTGATTTTTTCCTTCAAAACATTCTGGCCGTACCGGGGTTGAAGACAATAATCTTCCTAACTTTTTTGCTATTAGAAAAACAAAATTTCCAACAAAATAATTAGCATTAAATGTATAAAAAAAAGGCATAATTTTTTAAATGCTTAGATGCCATATTACTTTTGTATGTCCATAAAATCATTGAACTTGACTATGACAGAACCAGGCAGTGATGATTTTTCTCAATAAAATCAGAGGAAGATGCTTCTGGTGAACCATATGGCTTTGACGAAAGATTTGTACAAAAGTCATCACTAGAAAATTCTCAATAAATGTTTTTGTAGATTCATTTTTTATTGATATCTGAATTAAGTAAAACATCAATTATATTAGTATGTATGATCAGATACATCTGGGGTGCAAATCACAAATTCGTAATGCATTCTTTAGATGCTAGTTGTAACCTCTATTTCCGTGACTGACTTTGCGAGGTAGAATTTTTCCATTTCCAATTTTTACTGACAAATCCCACATCAAATATATATTTCCACATTGCTTTGGATCCATCTAATCATTTTATAATAGACAATTAATGGGGAGAATATGGCATCAAAAATGTCCAACCCTTACACTTTAAGGTGGAACCAAACACTACAGGGAGATAACTCTGTAAAATCAGCTTAACGATTTAATCACATTGTATTGTTAAGGAAATATCAAGCTTCTTAATGATCAAAATTAGTGTTTGTCAAACTTGACCATATCATTTGGTCTTAAATTTTATATACTTTTCTCATCAGTTATTATACCACATCATATTACATTAAATGTATATACATACAGTGTAGGAAGCATGACATCATTCAACCAATATGGTAACTGTTAACTAATAATTATTTGTATGATGTGGCAATGACCATAAAATATTAAATTATTGACTAATACATACATTTTACTTGTAGCACTAAATAGAATGTACTACATAAAATTTTGGCATTTGACTTAAGACAAGTCAGTGAGTATCCCTTTGCGCTTTGTTTTACTGAGTTTTCATGTATTTTTCAATGATTTTTTCTTGCACATTAATGTCAGAGGCAGATTTAGGGCCCCCCCCCCCCCCTCTCCTTTTCTAGGAAAAACTTGGTTGATTATATAGGGAATCACTGAAGCATGAGCGGAGCAGGCCCCCTCTTAGGCAGTCAGTGGGCCCCCACTTATGAAAATTTCTGGATCCGCCACTGAATGTTCTACCTGTGATCTCTATATTTAAAACAAAAATAATTGGTTCAATAATTTAACAACTAAACATAAAGAGCAGTACCTGAATTTAAACTTTCACTCAAGGAACACAGCTGGGGAAGCAGTTTTTCCAATCTGTCACAAAATTTCCGTCTTGATGATACATCTTGTAGATGCTTGAATCTTATGTCTTTGACTTGGAACTTGGATATGTGTACCTTAAACTAAAATAAAATCAAAATTAGAATAAAATTCTTCTCTAAAAAGTTTTAGTATAATTTTACATAAAACAAAAATGATGAAAAAACAACAGCATTAACATTGATGTTTTTTTTATATCTATACTATTAAACATGTTAAATGAGAAGACCTCATTTTTTGTGTCGCTTCTCTACCTTCCATAATAAATTAATCATCATGCCTTTGTGCCTTTGAGTCCTATAGGTACCATGCATAGTGGCATTTGTCATCCTCGCTTATGATTATTCTGTTTGGGTTATTATTAACAAAAATAAGGGCATCCTAATATTGTTTGGACATCAGACGGACATTTAAGTCAAAGACAATACTTCCAATTAGGACTTTTTACATATAATTTTCATAGGACAATTATTTTTGTAATTTGAAGAATGTAAAATTTTTTACTCCAAAGACATGGTTAATAAATTAACATAGTTACTAAACTGTGAACAGGGTTTAAGCTAGGATTTTGAGGGCTTTAGTCACTTTTGCGCGAGATGAAAATTAACATTAGTTTGGGCAACAGCAAGGGACCAATTAAGGATGTATGTATATTACTAGCTATACATCTTTGTCAGTCTTTGAAAGACAGTCCGAGTCTAACAGTCTAATACTATTTTGAAACAACTTGCCGTTTCTGAAGTTTTTCTTAGAAAAACAATAGCTACAGAACTGTAGCTCTTAGTATAGGTCCTAATGATATTTTTTGACTATTTGGGGACCATCGCAAATAGTCTAAAAATACCATAAGGACCCAAGAGCTATGGTTTGGAGCTTATTAAAACACTAGTCCAAATAATTATGACGTCTGGCAAGGCTATTTTAATTCGCCTTCCGACGACCAGAAAAAATTTAAAATAGCCTTGCCAGACGTCATAATTATTTGGACTAATTGAGACACCTGCATTGATTTAACATGTAGCACTGTGGCACTTTAGCAATACACAATGTTTATCTTTAGCATACTATTTTGAATTTTTTCTTTGTTGTATTTTTTATTGTAGTTTCATAGTCATATATGTTCATCGACTTTGCCCCTTGACTGTACCTCTTATCTATCTATGTCTATGGAAATAAAAGATATTATATTCTACTCTACATAACAGTCTAACTTTTATAGCAAATGAAAGTCATAGCCAAATAAAGTGCATCACTCCCTGTGCATCAATCATAGAAAACGACTTAGGGTACTGTTCGTGTTGCTTAGTCTTTCGTTTTCTATGTTGTAACTTGCGTTGTGACTTGTTTCTACTTCTACTTCTACCGGTTAGTGACCACCGTTGACTTGTGTATTGTTTGTCTTTTTCTTTTTCGGCCGTGGCGTTGTCAGTTAATTTTAGATATATGAGTTTGAATGTCCCCTGGTATCTTTCGCCCCTCTTTTATGTCAGTATGATAGTATTGCTTAGTCAATTCTTATTACCAATTTTAAAATTGTAATATTAGATTGCTCTGACAACTTTACGGAAATGGTCAAATCCAACGAGAACAAAAACTATGACAGTAAACATGGAAAATCCGGTTTATTTTTAATAGATGACACAAAAATGTATTTAGTATGTACTAGGTATAACACTAGAAGAATCTATTAAACAAATTGAATGGATTGAACAATAATCAAATTCACAGGCATGTGTAGAGAAAAAAAAACTTTTATTGTGTATAATTTTTATATTGCCGAAAATAGGGGTTTTTCATATTTTTATTGTCCTCGATATAACCAGTGTCCTCTATAATCGACCATTCGAGGAATGCTTGACTTAACAACAGGTCTTATACTAAATTGTCTTGTAATGTGTTAAGTCGGTCTATTTTAGGCAGTGGCTATTTTGCCCGCAAAAAAAAAACATATATTCTATTTTGCCTTTATAAATAGCGTATCTTACGATATTGGTTTTATTCATTGTACAAAAAGCCGTACCGTCGGGCGGGCGGGTGACCTACACATGTAGTATCTTATATTTTAATGAAACTGGATGATCTATTTACAGTACTATTATTCATCTTGGTGATTTGTACAAAAGTATGCATTATTTCAATTTGAAATTGATTGTTTTTTGCTGGGTTTTTTTTTATGAAGACATCCCATTTTCCTGCCAATTCATTGGAAGCCATATGTTTTAATTGAAGTTTAAGGGATAGATGATCCGGCTTTGTTTATTTATTAATAAAGCTTAACATGTAATTCGTTTCCTATTGTTGTTTAATGAGCAATGACCATCAACCCTTCCTGTGAAGCCATTTAACTCATTCTAACAAAACAAAGCTAGCCTACTGTCATATTTCTTTGTTTTTGCAAAATGATTATGCAAATTAGAGATCGATATCTTATTAACTAATTTATTTTCCAATTTTTAATAGATAGCATTCTTTTTATGCTACAATTATTAAATCATTAAAAATAATTAAACATTAATTGCAACATAATATAATGTTTGAAATTCACTTTTTGTTTTTTTTTTGTGAATCTGTTCAAAAATAGTTCTATTATCCTTTAGTTTATTTCATATTACAAATGATCAATATTTTATTTTGGGTATAAGTCAAATCGGCCTCTGGTGACATTTGGTGAAATAGACACCAATTTAAAATCAATTCTGCATCTAATAATATTTGAAATAATATATATAAATAATTCTAAAAATGTAAAAATTAATCACCACTGTACGTCCCAGTTTAGGGGAGGGTTGGGATCCCGCTAACATGTTTAACCCCGCCACATTCTGTTTGTATGTGCCTGTCCCAAGTCAGGAGCCTGTAATTCAGTGGTTGTCGTTTGTTGACGTGTTACATATTTGTTTTTCGTTGATTTTTTGTACATAAATTAGGTCGTTAGTTTTCACGTTTGAATTGTTTTACATTTGTCATTTCGGGGCCTTTTATAGCTGACTATGCGGTATGGGCTTTGCCGCTCATTGTTGAAGACTGTACGGTGACCTATAGTTATTAATTTCTGTGTCATTTGGTCTCTTGTGGAGAGTTGTCGTATTGGCAATTATACCACATCTAATTTTTTATATTTCTATTTTTAATTATTTAAAAAAAAATGGTTGGATTTTATCATTCATACATCATAAAAATCATCAAGCAGTAAGAATACGTAAGTTTTTTTTTTGAAAGTTTTCTCAACATTCTATAACTGATGTTTTGATTATTTTTCTTTTCATTAATTACTCAATAACTTTTATCAATTAAATAATCAACAAGTTTGTTGTTTTACGCTATACAGTTAGCTATTATAGATGTTTTTTTCGTCAAAAACTTTAGAAAAAAAAACAACGAAGCCATTACAAAAGCTACTGTGTAATGATGAGAAAAATAGAAACAATAGAAGGGAAAACTATCACTAATCAAACTCGAATGAAAAAATAAGCAATTAAGGTCATTAAAGTTCAAACAACAGTAACCAAAAATCATGCAAATAAAACATGCATTACAAATAACCAAAACCTATATACATAAAGTTGAACGAAACAGAATATATACAGAAACCACCATTTTTTTTAAATATTCATGGACATCCCTTCTTTACTTTAATCTTTTTGCTTAATAAAATACTGAAAAAAGATATATACATGTCTCTTCAGTGATGTTAGGAATCGAAACGGTATTTGGAAGGCCATTATAATTTACCTCAATTAAGAATAGACTCTTGAATTTTGAAGAGTCGAAATAGGATGAACGGATCATATAAACCCCAAGGGAAATATAATACAAGCCCAAACGAAAAAATATAAACAAGTCTAAATTGAAAACAACGTTCAAACCTATGATTGCGTAGGATAAAAACCGCAATTTTTATACGTGTGCATGGAAAACAAATTTCTTGGTAGTGGGGTCTAAATACAACACAAACAACATTTTCCAAAAGACCAAAAAAGTGAAAAAGTATATTTTAACAAAACGCATTTGACTAACAGGTCGAACAATTAACTTATGTTCTTAAACCCTGCTGACTGCCATTGGCGATTGCAAAATAAACGTATCACCAGATGTAAAAATGGATCTTAATTATTAATTAAATACCAAACAGAAAACAATAAACTTGCGGAAAAGATGGTATACCGCAAATATGAGGTGCAAACATTTGTACACCATATCCGGATTTCGACAATTAATGTCTCTTCAGTGATGTTAGGAATCGAAACGGTAAATCCATTTATATATATATAAATAATGATTGTAAACTGTGACTTTCTGTCCTAGCAGTGTCTACACTTGTCATAAAATTATTAAAAAAAATACTCACTGTTTCATCTTCAGTTATGATGTTTACATGGTTGTCATCTTTACTCTTCTCAACGGATTGCACTGGAATGTACACGCCCGGTAAATCGGAACCACTGAAATGCAGAACGCCATCAACAACCGATAACCATCAAGATGACGGAGGAATATCCATTCTGACTGTTTTCGAAATATTAATTGTAACGTTTGCAGCTTTTTAAAAATTTAATGATTGACTCAATACGTTAATTAATAAAGGTAAAACTTTTGAAAAATAGGCCCCTCCCATCTAAGATTTGATTGGTTTAAATTGGATTATTCCTTTATCCTTATTGGCTCACTCAATTTGTTCCCTTATCAAATTAAACGATTGGACTGATTTTATGCCAATCACAAAATCATTATTTTAAAAAATTGTAGTATCCCCCCCCCCCCCCCCCCCCCCGAATATTCTTAATTTTTCTCTAAATTTTTCCACCCCGCCTTTTAATAATAATAATTCTGTTTAATTCAACTCATATTAATCGTTTTTCTGCATATAAACTATAAAATGCAATCTGCCAGTAATGAGTTTGTGACGCCTTGATTCAGGAATATAAACCATTGTCAAGAATCAGTCCGGTCAATATTGCGCATGCGTGAATTCAGATACCCTTCATGGATAAAATCGTTATATAGAAGTTATATGGAAAAAAATCTTTACAAGACGATATTCAAGTTTCTTCTCGGTGGGTTTCTTAGCTGCTGCGATCCCCAGAATCCTTAATGTGTCTTCTTTTTAATGATATAGATTATTTTAAAATAAAGTTTGAACTTCTTGCAACAAATTTGGATTTTTTACAGTGATGTCAAATGGCTTACTTTTGTCGTTATTATTACAGGAAAATGTCATTATTCGGAAGAGTGGTCAGCTTTGAAAAAATAAATAAAATACTTTTACTTATGATATACCTTAGCTGCTGCGACCAAGAAAAAGATGAAAAGTTAAAGCTTAACGTGGTGTAGTTTATTTTCAAATTGGTTATTTTCTTCTTGCTCCAAATTTGATTTAAAAGTAGGCGATTTTTTTTTTTCTATCAATTTCTATTTGACAACAGGACACATCGTGTGTGTAAACAGATAACAAATTGTTATACAATCGTGTTTATACAGTCATGCTGAGATATAATATATTCCCAGAGTCATGTAATATAGTGTAAACGACATTTTGTATAAACTTGATTTAGGGTTGAAGGAATAGCAAAACACCATATAATTATAATTAACGTTTTTTTATAATTAAAGACAAGGATTTGTATAACTCACTATCCAAATTCTTGTTGAAGATGATTAGATTTTAAGTTATTTTTTGTTTCTGTTTTCACGTGGTTATAACCGAAAATTAATAAATATATCATTAGAATGCAATCAAAATCTAAACCGCATTATTTTAAATAAATGCTTGTTCATCTGGATGTTTTATCAATACACAATCATATTTTTTTTCAATGGCATTAAATGGTTTCTATTCACATTTATTTTTTTTAAAAAAAGAAGAAGATGTTGTATGATTGTCAATCAGACAACTGGCTCGTTTTCTTGACAATCCCTAGATAATCATTGTTTGAGGCAATTTTAACACGATTTGAATACACAATCATATAGGAGATCAATTCCATTTCGTCGCACTTTAAAGAGTGCATAAAAAAAACACATTTGGAATATTTCACGAATTCGACCACTTGATACGGCAAGATGAAATCTAATAATATATTTTACATCAAACCGAGTTTCTGTTATTTAATTTCTTGAAATAAAATACACGAATAATAATATGTGCGCACAATAAATTGGAAAGTTTGCACCTTTCAAGACCCGTTATATAGTTTTGAAATTCATTCATTACTTTAATTGTATATTCGCCGTCAAAAAGAAACTTGTTGATGACAAAAATAATCAAAACGAAAAGTGTATAAAATAAAAAAAAAAAACAACTAAAAACTGCTTTTTATTAAATTCCCTTTGTCAATTTTTTATCACTAGCTTTTCATCTCAATCAAAATTCATTGAATCGAAACAATATTAAATAAAAAATCAATAATTTCTTCACAAAACGGTAAAGATTGTTAGCTTTGAATAGGTACTTGTACATGTATGACAATTAACATGTCAGCTTCAGGGTATATACCTGTGGATATATGGTGGAAACGATGCTGGAAGCTTGTGTGTTTTCTGTTTCTTGTTTAACCTCTATTGTTTGCGTCGTAGATGT